TTAAMATTTTCGTGTAAAACGCGCACTCATTCACTCATTAAGACAAGTAAAAGGATGTCTTTTTTTATAGATGAAAATGCGGTCTTAATAGAAACCCTGAAACCAGGACACGTTTCCAAAGTATAAACAAAGTCACCGTGAAATGTTGCGTTTTTCCGCTCTGTTTTTTCTATACGTGTATTAAGAGTTTCCATGGAGAACAATGCGTCCGCCTTTTTTTTAAGTGGGCATTGAATCACTAGATTATAACTCGTAAAGAAATTGAAAACTTCTAAGCTAATGTAAAGTTAATATAAAACGATATAATGATAGATTAGTTGACTTAGCAACTATGAAATGTCTTACGGTGATTTTCATCGGACTGTGAAATAGTTCCTATCTTAATAGACGCTAGTAGACTCTACAGCCATTGCTTTCTTTTATTAGAATACAACTATTAGACACTAATAAACACTGACTAGTAGTAATTGTTTCACAGACGGATGAAAATGACTCTATAAGACACTTTATAAAATTTTTGATATATAACGCGCACTCTGATTGGCTGACGACCGTGTTTATATCAGAGTACAGAGACACGGCTTACCGGCAAAATTACCTTTTCGCTCGAAAAATTTTATAAAAGAAATATAAAACGGCCGCTTGTGTCTATGTCCTCTGATATAAACAGGGTGGGAGTTGAAAAACACTCGAGAAGCAAGAGAAACACTCGCTACGCTCGTGTTCCTTAGCTTGCTTCTCTCGTGTTTTCGAACTCCCACCGTGTTTATATCAGAGGACAGAGACACGCGCGCCGTTTTATATTTCTTAAATTAAACACAGACTAGTAGTAATTGTTTCACAGACGGATGAAAATGAAATAAGCATGACATAGTGATTAAGGTCTCACTTTTCAAGATGGCGGACGCATTTTCTCCGAAACCTCTGATCACACTCCAACCCCACACCTCCCCCCTACACCCAAGATTGTTGATTTACCTGGCGAAAGTTCCTTTCCTCTGAAGGGTTTGAATCCGTCTTGCGCGAATACATGTCTAGCCATCTTAATACTCTTTCGTATCAAATCTCGATCGTATTCAGTTGATAAATAATTTGGCTGGATTTCGGGATGGTCCCGAGGGTTGCGGGTCTTGAGTTTAATATACCCTTTGCTTGTTGGGCGTTGTACGGAAGCGGACATCTTAAAATTCAAAATAGACACGAATTTTGTTAGAGTGCATGCAAGTCATATCCAGAGCTATATGATACCTGGTTAATAACTGGATAATGACCGTGAGTTCATATTTGTCAGGGAAATATGCATGAGATATACAGCCTCAAAATGCTAAAATTCTGCGCATTATAACACAAACGTGTGTGAAGGTTTATCATCATCACATGTGGAATACGACGTTTCAGATATCTAAAGGTTATGTCTTTRGACTTCGATGTCATCAYGTGATACTTACYCTATARCCGTGACCACGTGATATCAGCTTATTCTTGACCTTACTCACGCAGAGAGGGACGAAATCGAACTGGATGTCTGGATGRGGAACACTATCGTCACTCTTGATAAAGGCSCCTACATCAAAATGGTTCTCTCCACACGGGCCCGTCTTGGTTAGGAACCATTGAGCCCCGATRAAGATCCTTTTCAGGCCTTTRTGGTACTTATGAAGACATATCGGCTGTTTGCATTCCTGTAAARAGATTCACTCATAATTTAGCGATGAATGATGAATTACTAGACCAGTATCGCATACAATTCACGGCAAAAACATTACGTGGTTTATAAGAGTTGAAAAATAAAGAAATGAAAATGTGAAAAAATGACACTAGTTTTCACACAGCTTGCGCTTARCACTGAAAATTAGGCTTGGGTCTTTTACATTTTCAATGTAAATTTGTGGATGGTCTTGTAAATTCTGYCCCACTCCTGGAAGATGACACACCACAGGGACCCCAAGCTTCTGAAGTTCGTTGCCGTCGCCAATTCCAGAGAGTAGAAGGATCTGGGGC